ACATTAGCTGAATTGATACTTTCTCTGTCCATATTACTACCTCATATTTTTTTTTTTTAAATACTATAAATTGATATTACCTAAAAAAAATTAATAATTATCATTTTTACTATAATTTCAATTTACTCTTAACATTTTTGACATTTAATAACCATTACTTGTCTAATTACCTTTACCTGTTTTATACCACATTTACTATCTTAGAGAAACTCTTAATTTCCCTTGTACTGCCTATAACCTCTAGTATAACTACAAGTGCAATATTGAATGAAATAAACATTACTTTTTCACTTTTTTTGTAATCATTATTACTTACTAAAATTTATTAAACACCATTTTTACTACCAGTCAATTTTACTTTTGTACATTAAACATTATTTATACTTCCCATAACATTTTGTTGCCAAATTTTCAAGTTTGCATATTCAACTCCAACCTTTATATTATCCTTTGTACCTGTCTACCATCTTACTATCATATTATAACCAAGACATTACCTTTTATTCATTGTTCTTACCTGTCCATTTAATTTTTTTTTACCACTACTTTTTTTTTTTAGTCACTTTTTATTGTGTGTGCAATTAGTGTATATTCCAATTACTTTTTTGGAAGTCCCAAATACTATTTTTTTGCTAGCTAGTACCAACTACCTCATTTTTTTTTTTTACTTTTTATTGTGCAATAAACTGCTAAACTTATTTAATATTACAAATCAGATTTTACCTCCTAAACCAATATTATTTCATAGTGACTATCTGTCCATTTAACTTGTTTACCATTACTCAATTGGTAGTCCCTTATATATTTTTTGTCCTTTATTTTAGCTCTATATAACTACCTTAGATCATATATTCGCAATTGTTAAACTAATCAAGGTGCTATTTCAGGTGCTAAAGTTAATAAGTTCACTATTTTGCAATTATACTCCAAAGCTCATTTATTTGATTCCCACTTTATTGTTCACCACAACTTATTTTAGCCCCCTTTTATTTATAATTTTATATTATAATTCTAACTTTAAAGAATTACCTTTAAAGTACTACCTACAAATCTATTCCCAAGCTCCATTATTTGATCATCACTTTATTTGTTCACCACAAATTTTTTAGTCCCTTTTATATTGTCTCCTTTATTTTAGCTTTAAAAAACTACCTTAGCTCATTATTTTTTAAATTTGTTAAATAATTCAGGTGCTATTTTTTTTAGCTTTAGAATATTTACTTTATTTTTTACTTAATTCTTACCTGGAGTTTACCTGGAGAGAGTTCCGGGGGTCAACGCCCCCGGAACTACAAATCTTATGATTACAAGCATTGATCCTGATACCAACCTCTTATTTAATGACTTAAATGATTCAAACAGTTACTGTAATTACTACACAGCAGAACAATCAAAGGCACTTCTCAGAGCCAACAACAACATAACTATCTTTAACTACAATATCAGATCTTTAACCCAAGCATTATGATGACCTCCTAGCATTACTAAATTCCTTGCATGCCAATATGTCCATTATTACACTAACTGAAACCTGGCTAAAGCCTGATACTACAGATGTCTATGCCATTCCGGGTTACACAGCCATACACAACTGTAGGCCAGACCAACAAAGGGGTGGCACAGCTATATACTACTCAGACCAACTAGAATGTATCACTAATACTTGCACAAGGATGAACATGGGAATAATAATAGCTAAATTCAAATCCAAATACCTACAAAAAACCTCTCACAGTGAATAAACATCTACAGAATTCCAAAATCAACATTAGCCAATTTAGTCAAAACCTAGGAAGTTTGATAACTGATGCACGCATGAACAAAGATCACTTACTACTCTCAGGTGACTTCAATAAAAATCTCCTGCAAGCCCAGGACCCACACGTTACTGAATTCACAAACACAATGAGTAACTGCATGTTGCTACCAACAGTAACAAAACCTACAAGAGTTACAGAGACTAGTGTTTCCCTACTTGACCACATCTGGACCAACACCATATCCCCTTTAAAATCAGGCCTAATTACAGATAATACCACAGACCACTACCCTACTTTCCTCATAACAACTCTTGGTAAAATACCCCAAGACACTACTAAAGCACCTTCAGATTCACAATGAGGCAGCCATTAATAAATTCACAACAGCAGTAACAAACATTGACTGGCACACTGAGCTAGAAATCTATACAGATATTGACGAATGTTTTAATAATTTTCTAAAAAAGGGCCCAATACCTTTATAACAAGCACTGCCCATAAAAAAACTAAAACAGATGACAGCTAAGAGACTGAACAGTCCCTGGCTAACACCCAGCATTCTCAAAACCATAAATACAAAAACCGATATGAAAAAACAGTACAAAATGGGTCACATAACCAGAGACCAAACAAAACGTTACTCGTCAAACCTAACCAGCCTGATAAGAAGGGCAAAAAAATTGTATTATGAAGAACAATTATCCAACTTACGAGGTGATATAAAAAAGATCCTGGAAGACATTATCAGAAATTCTGGGAACAAAAAAGATATCACGACGTAGCGAAATAAAATTAGCAAAATCAGATGAACCCCAACTCCCACCAACAGAAACAGCAAACAGACTCAATGATTTCTTTTCCCATATAGGTCAAAACCTTGCCAATAATATCCCAAGCTCAGATACCCCACCAATGACTACCTCACTGGCAACTACCCGAACACACTGTTCCTAGCTCCGACTAACCCATACGAAGTCTCCCTTATTATCAACGCACTGAAAAACAAGGCAGGAGATTTAAATACCTTACCACCCTTTATAAAAAAAAAGCGTCACAAGTACTATCACCAATCATTGGGAACACTAACAAATCCATTGAATCCTCCACCTTCCCTACAGTTCTCAAAATAGCAAGGGTCACCCCGATCCATAAAGGAGGAGACCAAACAGAGTTGAATAACTATAGGCCAAATCCAATTTACACCCTCTCTCAAAAAAACTTCGAAAAAATTAATTCATAAACGAAATCCACTCCTACCTCATCTCCCATAACATTCTCAACCCCTGCCAATTTGGATTCAGGCCTAATAAAAAAACTAATGATGCTATTATACACATGCTAGAACATATATACACTGCAATAGAGAAAAAGAAGTCCACTGGGGATCTTCATTGACTTACGCAATGCTTTTGATACAGTTGACCATGACTTGCTCCATGCAAAATTGTCACACTATGGTTATTAGAGGGCACTCCCTCAAATACCTCAAGTCTTACCTCAGCAACAGAAGCCAATATGTGTACGCAATGGGGCAAGCTCTTCCGCACAACCAATTACAGGGTTTGGGGTCCCACAGGGAAGTGGGCCTTGGCCCTCTTCTCTTTTTTCCTATACATAAAGACCCACCAAATGCTTCGCAATTACTCAAACCCACACTTTTTGGCAGATGAACACCACATACGTCTTCTCTCACCCGGGGCCCAGTCACGCTAGCCAATACTGTAAACACTGAAATTACAGAAAATATCTACCTGGATGAGGACTAACAAACTTACACTAAACATTGACAAAACCTACTTCATTCAGTTTGGTAGCAGAGCTACAGATGTACCTCTTAACATAACGATAAACGGATCACCTATCACAAAGCTAACAGAGGGAAAATTTTTGGAATCGACCTCGATAATAGACTCAAATTTCATAACATATACAACAAAAATTTTTAAGAAAATTTCCAAGACTGTAGGCATACTATCAAAGATACGGTACTATGGTTCCACAGTCAGCCCCCCTGGCCCTTTATCACTCTCTTATTTACCCCTATCTCACCTATGGAATTTGTGCATGGGGCTCAAAAAACAACTAACCATCCAGACCACTAATTACCCAACAAAAGGCTGCAGTTAGAATGATAAATTCTCACTACAGGGAGCACACTCCACCAATATTCAAAAAAACTCAACCTACTCACCATACAAAACATCCATACATATTATTGCACTTATTACATACATAGAACAATTAACTTCTGATATTAACCCTCCCCTCAAACATCTCCTTGCCAACCTCAACAGAACACATGACCTAATACAAGGCACAGATCACTCTTTGATGTTCCTCGTGTCCATCTCCGCTATGGGAAAAAACTCAAAGCACATAAAAGGCCCTAAATCTGGAATTCATTACCTGTAAATATAAAAGAAACACTACCTGTTTATAATTCAAGTCTCTTCTCAAAGTTCACTTACTCACTCAAAAAACCCAAAAAAATACTGAATAACTGAACCATATAAATTGTATTTTCCTAAATGTTACTCACAATTTTATCACACAAATGGGTTAAACCTAACTTTGTTTATTTTTTTAATACACTACCTAACAGAATACTCCATTCTACTGAATGAACAGCAATGCATGCAACCATAGGACCTGTCTTTGTAATACTCATTTGTATTTTATAGTTATCTGTTTACAATAATGTCTTATCACTGATTTCATCATTGCTTAGTTAATCTTAAGTTAATTTTAAGCCAGCCCGTAATGCTATGCATATAAGTGGCTTTGGCATGCTGCTCTTACCTGTATTTTTTGTACCTCTGTTTGTATGCTAAAATTTCTAAATAAATAAATAAATAAATAAAGGTGATTTGCTCTGGTGGATCTCTGGGAGAAAACTGGAAGCAAGAATATCTTATAGTGATGCTAAATACTGGAAACCGATAGCCAGTAACAGAAATACATAGCTACTACTGTGAAATTACCATATAAAAATAAAAATTCCCATGAATTTAAAAACAAGTAAACATGTGCTTTTGTTATTGTAAGGCTTCCAAGAATGTTTGAAAAATTCTACTAATATCTGTAGCTTGAGTGTAATGCCCTGGAGGATTGTATTAAGCTTTAATGAACAAATTTCTTGTATCACTCACTTGCTGTTTTGCAGAAGGTTTAGTAGATGGTCAGCAGAGGCATCAGGTCTGTTTAGGAGGTGTTGGAGAATCAGCGATACAGTACAATTACGTGAGGCCACACACTTCAGCAGTTTAGGTAGATCAGGTAGGTAGCTGGGATCACCCTGCAGTTTAATGGTAACATCCATGTTCTCCTTAAGGTAGGGTAAAACTGCCAGTGCTGGTCCTACATGTCCATCTGACACCACCAGAATCTCAAAAACAGAGTGAGTAACAAGGGAATACAAAATTAAAAACCTTGAAAATTGTGATAAAAAAAATCTGAACAATTATCATCATATTCATGGGGAAGTACTAAACCTGTAGGGGTCATACAGTGACTGGGGAAATAGGAGGCAACCAGGTTTGACCTGAAGAAAGGATAATCACTTGTTATGCAAAGCATTTCAGGCATATTAAAAGTAGTAAAGTGAACTTTCAATTTAATGGGCCTTGATCAAAGCAAGCAATATAAGATACAACTGACACTATAAATGTTTGTGACCATAACATTAAATGTTGCATCAAATTTGAGAGACGATTTTTGACACTACTTCTGAAGCTATTACAAAGCTCAGAGCTTTTTTATCCTAAAGGTAGGTTGTTCCAAATTTTGGGAACTTTGATTTGCATAGAGTTTTACTTGAGTTATACACATGGAATATCAAAAAGACACTTATTTCTAGAAGAATGCTTAAGTGATCTATTGCAGCTCTACAGGAATTGATGCATAAAACATGTGTGACACTTTAGTATCTTTATTACCGAAATTTTTTTCCTGCATGGCAGGCTTCTTCAGTTGAATGCTGAAGAGTATTTTAATACTGGAAACAGTGGAAGAGGTGGAAAGGTAATTATGAGGAGTTACGTTCCTCAGCTTGATCGATGGTTGTCAGTCCCTTAGTCTAAAGCATAGAAGTTTGGACAGAGACTTGTATAACGAAGTGAGGTGCAGCAGCTGAAGACTTCATCACAGGTAGATGGGGACCAGTGGATGAAGGCAATTCCAAAACAGTTGTTTAGCACTCTTTGATGTTCCCAGTGTCCATCTCACACTATGTAAAAACTCTATGCGCATAAAGGGTCCAAAATTTTGGAATCATTACCAGTGAATATCAAAGGAACCCTGTCTGTACACATCAATTCAAGACTTCTTAAAAACCACCTACTCACCCAAAGCTAAATACTCAGTACATGTACAGTGGACCCCCGGTTTACGATATTATTTCATTCCAGAAGTATGTTCAGGTGCCATTACTGAACGAATTTGTTCCCATAAGGAATATTGTGAATCAGATTAGTCCATTTCAGACCCCCAAACATACACGTACAAACGCACTTACATAAATACACTTGCATAATTGGTCGCATTGGGAGCTGATCGTAAACCGGAGGTCCACTGTACTTAACTTTACCTAAAAAGCTACCAAATCACTTTCCATTGCCTCAAAATATCATTGCTCACTGTGTTATTTCCCTAGCCTCAGAAACCCATAAGTAAATGCTCTAAGTACAATAAATTCTCATATTTTAACCTAATGCAAATGTTGAATAACATATATTTAATAGATTATGACTTTGATGCTGAAATTTTAAAATAAATTTTCCCCGACTCATAAAGGCTGCTCACGCTGCTGTCTAGGGGTTATAAAATTACACTGAAAAACACAGAAAAACCTGGGCCCAACATGTACCCCATATATTAAACAATATTAAAATTATTATTAGGAAGGAAGGCCCAAAAAACTCACCTATATAAAAATATATCTATATTAATAATAACTTATATACAACTTATAACTACTACAAAAAAAAAAAACCCCCACACTCCAGTTCACATTAACTCACTAGCACACTGTACAATGAGTTAAACAAAATAAATGAACATTTATGAACAGGGAGGCTCCATGACCCCCCTCCCCTTTCTGCAGGCTACTTAGCCTACAGTGGAAATGTTAAATACTCTCCAAAACCCCAGGCCCTGCATACTTGGGCTTTACAAATAAACATGGGGAGCAATTAAACACAAACACCTATGGTATACTAAAAAAAAATTACCAAAATTACCTACTCAAACTAACACCAACCCATGACTACTTCCCAGCTGCATTCCTACCCCTTTCTGAACTAAAAAACACCTCTCATCTGCTCCTTTGTAAATTCTCATGATTAATTTTGTTTATGATTCATTACCTTTGCAATTATTCATGAGTGTGACCAGCTCTACCCGGAGCTCATTACCTTTGTAACTTGGTCATGATTATGACCAGATCTAGTTCATTACCATTGTAACTTGCTCAGCTATCAAAAAATTTGGAGTCCAGTCCCTGGACCAATTATGTACCTCTGTAATCTTTTGACTACCGCCCACAGGATGGGTATGGGGTGCATAATAAACATATTAAACTAACTAACTCTGCTCCTGTACCCGGGCCACTGCCTGACTGACAGGAATAAAGCGCGTTTTACTTTCAGGGAATAATACACGTCCGCTTTCAGTCATTACATGGAAAATGACATTATATATGGAGTGTTATTTTATATATAAATTTTTTAATACAATGCTCTGTAATATAGATGTATTACCTATTGTAAAATTTTAGTGCAACCTTAACAAACTTTTTGTTCGTCTAGTGTTAATAAGTAATATATTAAGTTTAGGCTGCCAGTAATGCCAAGGCTGACAGTGGCTCTCTTTGCACTACAAATCATTGTAAACCCTTCACTGTAAACTACCTATGTAAAATATACTTCATAAAAATATGTCAACCACATTGTAAAAATTGCAAAGGTAATAAAGGAATTTTGAATTTTTTAAATTTTAGAAGACATTCCCTGTACCAAGAAAAACCCTGCTGTTACTGTGTCAGACAAGTATCATGTTACATTATACAAAATAACAAGCTGATAAATAAAATGCATGGTGCAAAAACTTTGGTATTAGTCTACCTGTGATGCCATCTCCAGCTACTGCACCTCCAGTATTACGAGGGGTCCATCCTCATTCTTATGGTTTAGGCTAAGAGGCTGAACACCTTATATCAAGGATGATAGATTTTTAAAATTATTCCACTATCACCAGCATTAAAATTACCTCTGCATTCAACTGATGTAACCTACTGCACTGGAGAAATGTTATAGCAATAAAGATACCCAAGTGTTGCAAATGTATCTTATTCATTAACTCCTCTGTGTAGTATTCCATAATGTGATCTTTAGGGATTGTTTTAGCTAAGAGTTCATAGTTGTATCAAGTGTTCTGTATATGTAAAAATGCACAGGAGTATATACGGATGCACTGTACATTAAATACTTTTGTCTTTGAATTGTTTAGGGACGAGGTAGGTGCTGTCAGGAATCAGACTGAGTGATTGCTTTAATGAAAGATTTTTGGTGGGTTATAATGGTTTTAGATGATCAGCTGTTGTAGATCCTTATACACATACATCATACATGAGGTAGGGTAGTTTGGATTGGTATAAGTAGTGTTGTGGTATTTAGCATACTCTGGAAAAAATGCTCACAGATTTTAAGTTTCTTACTTATGCTTTGGTGATGCTTCTACTTTTTAAATTTGCTATCAAATGAAAACCCCAAAAATTTTTTCCCCATGCTGTCTTTCCATGTGTGATTATTTTATGATGTTTAGTGGCCTATTTTTAACATTTTTGCTAAAAATTAAAAAGTAGGTATCAATCAATAACTGCTGCCAGCAGACGGGCTCCTGGCAGAACCTACGGATAGGCGTTCGATACCTCATAAGGATTCGTTTAAGACTCAGTACACCATCTACGTCAGGCCCATACTGGAGAATGCAGTCACCAGTTTGGAATCCACACCTAGTCCAGCACGACAAGAAATAAGAGAAATGTGCAAGGGATTTGCAACAAGACTAGCCCAGAGGCTATGGGATTTGTCCTATGAGAAAGGTTGAGGGAAATATCGGCCGACGCACTGGAGGCCAGGAGGGTCACGGAGACATGATAAACTCATATAAAATATGCGCGAGAAAAGACGAGGTGACATAGACGGGATGTTCCGAGATGGACACGAGACACAAGAGAGTCACAATTGGAATTGAAACGTCAGATGAATCAAAGGGATTTTAGGAAGTATTTCTTCAGTCATAGAGTAGTCAGAGGCCATGGAATAGCCTAGAAAGTGATGTGGTGGAGGCAGGAACCATACATATTTTAAGGGCGATGGTATGATAGAGCTCATGGGCAGGGAGAGAGAGGACCTAGAAGCAAACACGAAGAGGCGGGCCAGGAGCTTTGACTCATCTATGAACCTTCAACGCACAAATGATGAGTACAGAATAGGTGAGTACACACACAAACACACATCAGGAGGAAGACAACAGTCAAAGACCAGGTGATCAGATTAAGCCAGAAGGTGGAGAACTCACAAAAATGATCAGGAGGTATGTGAGGAGCTGAACAGAGATTTAGAAGTTTTTACAGTATAGACAGAAAAGGGCTGTGGAGACAGCACAGAAGGGAACAACAAGAGGGAATATACCAACAAGTGTTGGATGACATACGAACAACTGAGGAGGAGTGAAGAAGCATTCTTAAGTGACCATTTGGACACCCTCAAAGTCGATTGGACCCGGACTACATCTCCCCATGGTCCTTAGAAGAAGGAGCAGAGATGCTGTGTGTGCCTCTAACCACAATCTTCAACAACATCCCTTGAAACTGGGCAACTCCTGAGAAATGGAAGACCGCAAATGTAGTCCCCATATTAATAAAGGAAACAGAAACGAGGCACTAAACTACAGACCTGTGTCTCTGACATGTAATTGGTGCAAAGTCATGGAGTAGATAATCAGGAGGAGAGAGGGGTTCGAACACCCTGAAAGGAACAATATTATAAATGAAAACCAGCATTGGGTTTCATGAAGGCAAATCTGTATCACAAACCTCCTGGAGTTTAGACAAGGTAACAGAAAGTAAGACACCGAGAGAGAGGGTTGGGTAATTGGCTTTTTCCTAGACTGCATGAAGCCTTTGACACAGTTCCCCACAAGAGATTAGTACAGAAGTGAGGATCAGCACACGTAAAAGGAAGGCACAGCAATGGATAAGGGAATACCTGACAGGGATGCAGCAACGATCATGTACGTTAAGAGGTGCACAGTGGAGTGGGCGAGCCTGTTTTACGAGCGGATCCCACAGGGTCAATCTACTAGGACAGTGCTATTTTGATATAT